TATATTGCAAGTATAAATTATTAGGTTATGACGTGATGTGTCTCACATATTAAAAAAACAATGTATATTAATAATAAAACATTTTTTTTTAACCTTTTCTAGTTATTGAAATGTATATTTCAATAACTATATAATATTCAAATATAATACCAATGGCTGTATAATATTAAATTATTTATAGATTTTTTTTGTTATTTAAAGTTTCCCTAATTATAGAATATTGTATCACCTTGGCACAAAATAATGTATATTATTTGTTATTGTTTCTTTGTGAGTAGAGATCTGCGACCAGTAATGAGATTTGGTCGATTTATTATACGCCTTATAGTTTTTTTAGTTATCTGTCCATTATTATGTATTGCGTTATATTACATTTTTGTATTTATAAGTTATCATTATATAATAGAATAACAACTAAAATGTTCATGGTTACAGTATACATTAGATAGTGCATACTTTAAAAATGTCAATGTAATAAAGACAATTCTTTTTCTTGTTACTATGGCCGAGTATTCTTCTGCTTATTTTCCTAAATATTATTAGAGTCAACCATAGTCCTCAAATTGACCCCACAAACATGAACTCTGCATTCAAAACTATAAACAACAACAGTTCTTGCTTAAAGTCATTTCGAACGCAAAATTAGACCATCATGTACACAAAATGGTTTTTATTTTACTGATTAAATTACCAGAAAAACAAGCCAGATTAAACATTAAAAATAAAATCGGTCGAATGTTATAAAATATTTTACGATACTACATAATATCCCATTAAGTGAATGAAATTACTAATAAGAAAACGAAAAATCCAATAACTAATAATTACATTATACATGACGTGTAGAAAAACAGAAACCATAATGATATAATGTATAACAGTGTTGTGATTGATTTTGTGTATGTTTTACATATACATTTAGCTTCCTTTTAAGCTAAACATGTATAGGTTTTACAATGGAATATTTCCTTTTTTGTTATATTATTCTCCAAAGAAATATGTTTGCGGTTCAGCGTTATAAGTCGTAATAAATGTAGTACATTGTAATAATATGTAATACATATTAGTTATATAATGTACTTAAAAAAAAAGCAATTTCTTCATTATTTTGTTTATGTATTTTAAGTATATACATATATATATATATATCCATTACGCATGGAGATTTAAAAAAAAAATAATCCTCTGGTCTTTGCGACGTATAGTAACTGGTATTACTTAACGATTTAAAAAACAACATATAATCACAAGTCTGAACAAAATATTATTGTTGCTAAATTTAAATTATTTTTACAACACATAAATAACCATTTATTACTAAACGTAATCGTTTTATTTGTGCAGCCGACTCTAAGCTCCATATATACCACATACCAGTACAAAATATGCATATTGTATAATATACAGTTTTCTGAAATAAAAATGCTTCACTCTGGAACCATATTCTTCTAGGGATACTAAAACTCATAATATTTATCCTAATATAATAATGGGGTTCAATGAACAATTGTTATTAAATATTGTGATATTAAAAAATGATATTTCCTACAAAATTAAATCATAAATTGTTAAATTATCCAATTTCGGAGATAACGTTTTTTCAACATCTTTTGTCATTTTTTTTCTTTTATTATTATTTTTTTGTTTTGGTGAAAAATAAGCTAAAATTATTCATAAAAATCCATTATTCTCAGTTAAGTTTTCGTCGGGAACAAATGTCACTAGACGGAGAATTTCACCGGAACTAAAATGGATCATAATTTATTTTTAATTTACATTACCTATTATTTTATTAACAAACTCAGTAAACGGCAGTTTTTAAAAATAGCACATACTATCAATAATATATAGGTGTTGAAAGCTCTTGGCTTCCCTATTTCCCACTCCATAGAATAGAACATTGAATGCTGTAACACTCCATGTACTGTTAATACCGGCGGGGCATTATTGTATAATATACTATTATGACTTTATACTTATTACCTATTGGATAATTAAGTCTCATACCGTTTTATTAAAATGTGTGTACTTTATTATATACCTAGTAATTGGATCGGTTCCACGACAACTCCCTAGTGGTAATAATAATCTAGCGAGCTATTTAACGCCTGCATTGAAGACAGATGATGTAATTTTCAAGAATGGATCATTATTATAATAATATACAATTTTGGCGAGCGAAAAAACTAAACCCTAATGCGGTCAAATTAATCTTTTTTGACAGCCGGGTGCCCAAATGTTCAATAAACCTTCGAGACGAGACGTTTGTTCATTATTTCCATGGAGGACAGCCACGATGATGATGATAATAATAACTTACTACACGTGAACGGTGTTGTATAGTAAAGAAAACGTTATAACGGCTTTTCGAATTTTGTCACGAGCTTATCGGTTTTGAAACCTAATGTTTTTTTATTCGTTGGTATAATATCGATATCTAGGCGAGTAACAAATTGTGCCCAACAACGATATCTGTTTTGCCAGTGGCGGTTCGTGCGAAAACATGTTTGTGCTGACATAATTTATATGGCTATGAATGAATTCTTCTTCTTCGTCTTCGCCTTATGATCCCAACTACATAGGGTCGGTCCCTCTAGTCATGGCTATAAATAAATTGCGAATCAAATTTTCATCGTTTTCCGCAAACACATAACACGTCATACATAATATGCTACCCTGTGTTGTCTTTTTATGATTTTCTGAAAAACGATTTATTTCCGGAAACAGGCTTTTTTTAAAAATCAAAAATATTATGTTCATTTAAAAAAAAAAATCAATTTTTTTTTAATTTAGTTGAATAAAAATTATTATAAAAATAACATTTGGTATAATGCATGATTTTAGATATTATTGTATATTATATTTTTCGTTAATCCCAAAACAGCACGTTTTTTTTAAAAAAAAGCTAATCTAGAAAGTTTATAAAAATAAAAAAATTCTGTACAATATGCAGTACCACAGAAAATATTACGTTTTAATAAAAAAATAATTGTTTTAAAATTGTTTTAAAAAATGTTTGAGGTGAAAATAATACGTAGGGAAAAAAATTGTATTTCAACTAAAAATTAAGCTAGAAAATAATATGTTTGAAAATGATGACCTAAATTGATATTTCGAAATGTTTAATAAAATAGTTAATGTGAAATTCGATTTTGTCAAAATGTCTATTACACATTTTTGGTAGAAACATCTCAATTGTACACATTAAATTCCTAGGAACAATTTTCATCATTTTTTTTTTTTTTTGCAATATTCTTAATTGTATACCTTGCTTAAAATGATGTAACATTTCTTCATACGTTTTTTAAAATTTTATTTATTTGAATTTCAACGCATCAAGGGCAAGTACAGAGCATACAAAAACTGATATAAAATAATTAAAAATAAAATTTTCTGAAAATATAAGGTAAAGAATTCAAAAAATGAATCAACATTGGGCAAATTATCAACACAACACAGAGCGCGATTGAGGGGACTTACATACCCAATATTAGTTGCATTGAATTTTATTTTAAACGTACATAGATGTCTTGAATTAAATCAGGAGAGCCATTCAATAATTTATAAACAAAAGAAATGTCAAACTCTTTTTGTCTATCTGTTAACGATTTAATTAAATTTAATTGACACTATGAAACGATGATATTTTTTTTAATTGTACTTAACCGTTCAATAAACGTGAATTGTTTAGGATACCAAACAAAATATGCATATCCAATAACAGAATTTAAAAATGAAGAGCACAGCGTAGATATAGCATGAATATCTGTTACACAGTTGCTTATCGAATAGTTGCAGTATGATAATAATCTGTGGAGTAAAATTTAAAATATACAGTTATTTTTAGTTAACTTTAATTTATTGAAACGTCTATGAAAATAAAACCATGTAATTTGATAACTTATAAAAGTGGTATTTGTGACTTTTCGTATGTGAATGGTGTAGGTGACACCCATAATGTTTTTTAACATAAGTTTTATAGGATCAAATGTTACAGGTTAAAGGATATTAAATTTAGGAACATTTTACACACTGAAAAAAATAATACTGTAAGCCAACTGTCATTTCTGTGGAGTATTTTATGGATTATTTGATTAATTTTAATAGTTAAGAAACTAATCTGCACTTGCTTAAAGGTTTTTTTTTTTGCTTTTTACACTTGTATTATATTATTATTATTCAACCAGGAATTTGATTAAAAGGGGTATTATTATACTAATAGCCATTAAGTCCTTATAAATGTTTGAAATGTGTTAATTTAAAAACAGGCACAGGTGTCAACTGTCGTGGGCGTTCGATATTGTTTTAGTTCATTGTTATCATGTCACAGCCGTTGACATAATTTTGTCATCTAACATATTAGGGTTTATCGTCAATTAACGTGTAAAATGAATTGTTGACTTTGTTTCACTCTTTTAAATTGGAGCGGTCTTCGTTTTGTTTAATTTAATTAACTCTTTCGTTCTGTATTATACTTGACAAACCCTTTTGTGAAATGGTCTAATAAAACCATTATTTGTATTCAACGACCTACTACTGTTTCGAGTGCGCGGACGGAAGCTTTTAGAGTAAAGCTGAAGTCCGCACAATTCATTTTAATCCTGTGCAATCGTAAAGTGAGCACTTTTCTGTGAGAATCCGTCGTAGAAAACCAACCACAACAGATAATATTATGCTACAGTCGACCCAGAATGAACGTTTTAGGGACGAACTTCAAGTGTGCCAGGATAATGAAAACCAGAGTGTATAAATTCCCGAAGATACCGAGTCGAAAATATGTTGACTGTCGTCGTACAAACCAATTTCTAAAAATGGAACTAACACACACAACCACTCTAGCCTGAAGGTAGTTGTTTTTTATTTATTTTTACGAGTAAAAAATATTATACGGGGTTATTCAATTATAAAATGTTACAAATAACGCGAATTTTTCATCTACTCGGACATTGAGATTATTTTTTATAAATAAATGTAACTCTATTAACATAATATTTACTTACCGATACGAAGCAAAGGAGAAAGATAAGGAGGTGCCGCAATAGTTACCATTATGTAACTCGACAATAGTATTCCGGCAATATGAAACGGTCTGTGCATACTAAGTACCGTTTTCATTTTCTGAAACAAAATATTATTTATTAAGATAACTACGAAAAATGGGTATTCACAACGGTATAAAAAACATAATACCGCTAGTATTTAGTGCTTACAATACATTACTGTTTAATAAATAAATAATAAATTAATTTATGCTAATTTTTCTGATCCACAATCTTATTTCTTCACCGTTTAAAGCTTAAACAATTGTGCAAGTAGTTCATAACCTAGATAGTTGAACTAGCCAATGTAAAAATATATATATGTTAAAAAACGTATGGACTTGACATGTTATTGATTGATGTTTTTTTTTTTTTTTTATTTACCACATCGTATGTTTACGCTTTGTAAAATGATTGAACCATTTTATTGACTAACTAAAAAATATTCTTGATTTCTTTCAGGTTTTTATTTACCAGTCTTTGGGCAAAACTGCATATCATTCAAAGCCATTGTAACATAAATGGATTATTATTAACACAGCATGTAAATAGTTAAAGACCAGAATGTGTCTTTTTTCGTTTACGTTCAATCTTATCGACAAAAAAAAAACAGAAAATAAACAGTCCTATGTCAATAAATGTGGCCCATATTTTTACGTTAGATGGTCTCGAGTCAATGGGATTTAGATAAAAACTGCGTTATAGTACTTCTATATAGCTTCTGTGAAGTAAACCTTATTTTAATAAATTATAATAATTATAGATTTATCTAACAGTATATATATAATTTTCTGTAATACATTACATACCTATAAATATTATTATAAAATAAATTTATTAACTGTTTTATTCTACCAAATATAAATTGAGGTAACCTTATAAAATATACATGGAATTTAACACAATACCTTAAAAAGGCTCTTCAACTAAGTTTGCTTAAAATATTGACTGTAATTGTTTTTTTAGAAATGTATATTACTGAAGCTGAAATGTGTAGTTATACTTCAATATTTAATATGTACAGTGTGGTACATTTCTCATGGCTCACTCAATATCTCACTGGGTTTATTTAATCATTTTTCTTCAAAATGTTTTTATATAATGTGATCTCAATTTTTCACAAACTATTATGTTCCTTGAATATATTACATGTTCTTAATAGTTATTAAGTTGAAATATATCAGTTTCTATACTAGGTTCTTTTGAGTGAAATGTGTTAAAGTTCTTTTTTTTTTATCATAATTAAAAAAAAATAGAAATCAACAGTTTATCAATATTTTTTATTTAGCCAGATTATTAGAAATCATTTATACAGTTGTTTGTATTTTGCAAAGAAAATAATTGAATAACTCACTGATTGTAAGGAGTTGGCTCAACGAGAATAAATATATTAACTAATAATTACACGTCAATTATTTAAAAAATATAACAAGTTGAAATTAAAAAGTAAATAACGATGAAAATTATGTATAATAATTTATAAATATTCATAATATATAATATTTACATAAGCTATCATGTCATTCTGAGATATGCTGTAAACTATATTTTATAATATGATACCCGGTTATATTTGTAAAACTATATTGATCTTTTCAAAAAAAAAAAAAAACAACAACGACTAAACTGTAATAGGTACATCATATCCACTGTTAAATCTCAGTAGAAATATTTCATGTTTAAGTGTATATACTATTTACAGAATACACTTAAATCGTTAAACTATTCGAAGGTGTCTCCCAACAATTCAATGATACAGTTATACAAAACATTATTATTTGGACCGTACAATGTAAATAATATGTTGGTAAACATTATAATGCATATGTTACATAATTTATAAACACTTAGAAATTATGACACTTGGTATGTGCAATAAATAAGATAAATAACAGACTTCCATGCGTGCGTTGCGATAATCTATGTGTATTGTAAAAAGAACAAATGGCGCTAAACGAACAACGTGTCCTGAGAGTAAAAAAGGGATGGCGAAGACTGCTGGCTTTTAATGCATGTAAAGCCCCGTGGGTCATGTTTACACTAAAAACATACAAAAGATAACACGCGGGGAAAAGCGTTACCGTGATTTATTCCTTTTGTGGCTATAACAATAGCCGGCTAGCGCCACGCGAGTTTTGATAAAAGGAAATCTCTTGTCTATGGACAGAGTACAGTACAATCATTAGGAATGGCGCCAATCTTGGTCTCTCCGACATGTGGTATTACAATCTAAATTAGCCCCATCTTCAAAATAAATACACCACCGACAAATATTGACAAAACTAATAAAATAAATACAAAAACGAAAAATATTGATAAAACTACTGTAAATGCCAAAAGACGTCAACTCCGAATCAATAGTTGGACATTCTGTTATCACTGATAAATCATAAAAAATACATCAGCTGCTGTACACGATTTAATATGTGCTACTTTTTTCAATGACCTGTTTTAAAACATTATTTATGCGTAACGTGATAATACAATTCCTTGCCGGAGAATGTTTGGCATAATATTATAATTTATTTTTTATACAAGCTCATTTGATAAGAATCAGCCTGAGAAGAAAATTAACACGTACCTAATACAAAAAAAAACCCCCTTTGGTAAACCTATAGTTCATTCTGGTTCCACTCAAAGGCAAAACATTATCAAGTTTCAGTATATTTGCATTGCTCAACTATACAGTAATTTTACACTAATGTGTATCACAGATTTTGTGTTCAACGCTAAAGTGCTCTAATATCATACCAAAATCTATTTCAATGATGTGTTGTAATATGATACATCATCTGACCATCACTAATAGTTATTTTTACATAACCCTCATTTCTGGTTTTTGCGTTGTCTTCTGCTTTCCTCTATTTGTATTGTATTTACAAGTTCAATTTTCTTCGTTTCAAACTTTAATTTTGGACTTACTTAGTGTAGATACGGCGTAAACACCCATTTCTGTAGGACCCACTAACTTAACTCTATTATCTGCTTAGTCATTAGACTAGACTTAGTAAGTCTCCCTAGCCAAGTGGCTGGACAAATCGCGTTTAAGACTACTTGAAGAATCTAGTGTCATTTCAAGTGATCTAAATATAATAAGATCACTCATTATAATCAACAATTGTTCTACACCAAAAAGTCTTATTTTAGTCCATGGTTTAAATAGTATTACAAAAACGATACCAACATGCATTTTAAAGACATGTTTTCCTTTATGCGAAGTATAATAGCTTAGATGAAGTGAATTTTATTTAGACATTAAATATGTATAGTGTATTTCTATCATAAGCAACAAAATAAAAAATGATATTCTTTAGTCTTTCCCATCTCACCCTTCCTCTAAAAAGACAAATGACAATATAAGTGTTACTGTCATTTGTATGACATAATTGTCGCCAAAATTAAATTAACAATACTTCTTTTTTTAATTAATAAAATATATATTATAGTAAAGTTCTGCATAAAATGTATACATTTATATTTTATGAATGATGATTTGCTCGACAAAATTAAAACATTTTAAGGACCCTTAACGTCAAACACAGACCTGTGATTGGAATATTAAATTTCAATGCACTATTAAATTTATTCATTTTTCGTTCATCGATGTTTAATCGTGAACTCGGTCACATTGAACCCGAAATAAGTGTGTAAGTGTTATTTTAAGAATTATACGCTTGGCTTGTTAAATAACTGGGGTGGAGTATTTTGGTAAAGGGTGGTTACGATTGGTTTTCAACCGTATAATCGAGGCATACCACTAACGAATTTAATGGCATTTAGGGGATTTTTTCGATTGAAATGAATACCTGAGCACGCCTTTTACAAGTGCGTTGTGTATAAATAATAATAAACTTATGGACTTGAGCTGAGTTAATTTGACTAACGAGTTCGTTAACCCTTAAACTAATGCGGTAAGTGGCAATATATTATTCGACACCAATGGGCTGGCCAAAGGGAAAAGGAGAGGACGTAAAACACGTTGTTCAAGAGTCTTTATTCGCGTTCCGCATAGTCACTTCTAACATTAAGGGGTAAATAATTACTGTGTGTGCTGTGTGGTGGTAAAACTCTTAATTATGCGCATTTATCCGGAATTCAGCCTTATTTATTTATGTAACAGCTATCCGACTATTTCTGATTTATGTATAACAAATTATAGTCATAAAAATTAACGATAAACTTAACTAAAATGAATCCGTATTATAAGAAATAATTAGATCAAGCGAATTCAGTAATTGGGTCTAAAAGTGCCAACGTCAATTTTTGTTGCAAATGAGTTAATTCTGTTATAACATTTCCATATACTTACCAGATACGAGCATTAGCTCAGTTGGTGTACGTATCAGCCCGTATTATGAAAATTATATAATGTTAGGCACCTTTAATAATTATGCTGAATAATTAAAATGAAACCTTCGATAAAAAAAATATGGCTTTTTAAAGACCAACATAGGAAAAATGTAATCTAAGTTAAATGAAAAAATTTACACAGTCTTATAAAAAATCAATACTCTCGACTAATAGGTAATAACAACAACGATGATCCGAAAATGACATATTTGGACAGGTTGTCTAACCATAACTTGTTATGCACGTCTGGTTAACTATACTTACACCACACCGTAAGTATGCAGCCTACTACCACTAGCGCTTAGGCATAAGACTCTGGAGGTAACCTTAAAAGTTAAATCACGTTCATGCTAGCAAAAAGCACCGTAAATCATGTACAAAAGATTTATTTAAAACCTAACCTTTTTTATTTACAAATATTCAGAAGAGGCTTATTAAAAAAAAAAATAATTCATTTAAATAAAAGTACAAATTTACAATTCTTGTTTAATATTAAATGTGAATTAAAGTGGTGAAACCAAGAAGATTTAAATGTCACTTTCTTCAAAATTAGTTTTTATTTAAAGTTAAGTAGTGGGACGATTTTAAATAAATGGGCCAAACCTAAATTTAATTCGATAGCCTATAATATATTAACAAGTTTTAATTTAAATTTAACAAAATTGTATTATGATATGTTAGTACAATACAAAATTAAATAAAAAGTTATTTTTATTTACATAAAAAAAA